CTCTCTTTCTCTCTCTCTCTCTCTCTCTCTCACACACACACACACACACACACACACACAATAACTTACTAAAGAGTGTGACCAGAGGACATATTTTGAATTTGTTTATTGGAATCTTAACCTAACCACTGGTCAGTTAGTTATATGAGTTTTGGCCTTTTTGGTTTTAGGCTTTTTGGATGAGTCCCAGTTATAAATTTATTAAAATAATTTTTGCAACTACCGGTAATAGATATTGTAGGATTGTATAGCACTCTGAAAATATCGTAAATTAATAAATAAATTATCAGAAATATATAATTTTCTAAATATGGCATATTTGATATGCGCACAAAGGACACGTCCCAAACAAAATTATTACACTCATTAACTTAATCATTTTGAAATTGAAAATTTGACATTCATGACCAAGTAATTTATATACCCGAAAATATAATACACTATTATACTATATAAACGTTGGGGGTTAAACATAGAATGTAAACAATATAAAATTATTATTTACTGTACAACATGTATACATAAATAAGATTTTTTTAAAACTCGAATAACATATGGATAAATTAAAATTAATAAATCGATTACAAAATTAAGTGATTTATCAAAATGAACGCAATTTTATTTGTGACAATAGTTTTGCTACTTTATATAATTTGTTATGTTAAGAAGAAATTTAAATACTATACTAAGGTCTGAATGTTATCGTAATATCAATCCTAGCAACTCGCTATACCTAAATTGTTATCCACTTAATTAATTTTAGCAATACTTTGATCGCACCAAGGCCAATGTACCCAGCGCCGATTATTCATCGTAAATTTTAGCATGCAACTCAAATCGCCTACTTTTGTTGAGTTGTCTGTCGGCCCGGTGTTATGGTTGGGTGCCGTACGATATATGACGGCGACCCGGGCGCAACTTATACACCTAACCTATACTACCAAACCACGAGCGTTATATTATATAGCCACCATCTATCTATCTATTTACCACTATCTATTTTCATTGCTAATCTTTGACAATGTAAGCTTTAATTATATTGATTTTATATGCTTGACACGTATTGTGTTCAAATTAAATTATTATAGGTTTATGATGACGTGCCAATTTGGCAAAATATGGTTGAACCCAAAAACCCAATTTATACCGGCAATGACATGTTCATTTTGAATTACAGACCATTTTGGAAAGTATTTTACTAAAGATTTAAACTAACTTATATATTAACTTTTAATAAATCATTTATATATTATGTATAAATAATTGTGACATATAATTCATAAGAAATGTAAGTTATGCAAAATCTTTGATAACAAGTGCATAATTTGTAAATGACCACCAAATTAGTAACAATTTGATAAGTAAGTTTACCCTCACGCTTTACCCCCAGACGTAAAATATTTATTTTATTAATACTGTACTCATATAATGATAACCAAATGAGAATCTTTTCATTTTGATTCATTAAATACAATAATAATATAAAATCTGCTAAAAACTATTTTTAAAAAATATAATTTATTAAATAAATATTGATACTCATAATATTGTATAATAACTACATTTACGATCTAATTAAGAGGTTTTGGATGTTACATTGGATATTAGTAAATATCAATAAGATCCATATATTTATTATATTGTTTGGCATTTATATATTAAATATTATATTTCTATTTTACTATTTTATTAAATAAATTAAATGAAATCCATAATGAAATATGTGATCAAAACGTATTTGGCAGCAGATTGTAGAGTGGGTTCAATACTCGCCTACTCAGCAGTTTCTGTCTCTTGTGGTCAATACTATTATAATTGCTTTTCCTTTCCTCAACAAACGCTTCACTGAAGCGCCGGTAGTGTTCAAAGTACAGGTCGGCCAACCGGTCGTCGAAAGCGGCTTTTCGCATGAACTCATCCCACGATCGGGTGGACAGGGAGTCCATACGGTAGCTCTGTTTCGCCGAATAGCCTAAACTCCATTTGGGAGGACTCTTATGGCCTACTATATTATTTTCAGTCACATTCGTGTAGTACATCTCAAAGTCCAAAGGCTTTCCCTTCAAGTAATTAATTAGTTTCCAAATAATTAATATTACGTTAAATTATCTGTTAAGTAAACTTTAAGCCTTACAGTGCTATCCAACGTGAATATCCTGTACCCCGGGTTCAGGGAGGGATAGGTTGTGAGACTGGAGCCGATATAGCCGTGGGATACGGCATACGTCTCATTGTTTGTTATATTTTTGTTATACAGGACTACGATCTCATCTTTGTGTGAGTGACCGAAATAGGTGCCCACAATCAAGTGGGCATACCTTTCCACTATTCGCATATAGTTACTGCTCCACGATAGGTAACACTCCTCGGGTGGCACGTGACCTACAGGTGCCATATATTACCATCAAAAAAGTTTTCATAAGAATATTCTGTAACTAAAATACCGATAATAATAACGTATAGGCCTTTCCTTTCTGCACTGTCCAACTCATGGATAAGCCACTTGAGCTGACAGTCGGGGTCAATGGGGTCGTAGGCGATCCACAGGTTACCAAGGTGGCATATATTGTTATTCAACACAACAGCTTTTAGTCCCCTATTAACTAGAGATGAATAATAGCCTCCCTTTTTGAAGGTCCGTTTTGCGGACAGACTACCTATCCATTGGTTCCAGTAGTCATCCGCAAGTGTGTCGTACAACCAACCCATGGATATACTGCCCTCCGTGTCCTGTGACACCACATGCGGCACATACCTAAAGCACACGTATTAACAAAATAACATTACTATCATAGTGTCATCGACTATGGGCGCTACTTATAATTGCAGAGCACCTACATGTTGTTGGGGTGGGTGTCGTGGTTACCAAGACAGGGAAATACAGGTTTGCCGGCGAATGCCTTTTTAACCAATTGGGTCACCACTTGGATGTGCTTTAAGTTGTCCTCTTGGGTGGTGTTCCAGACGTCGTGCGGCACGTTATCGCCCGTCCAGATCACGAAATCGATGTCCCGGTGCTGATCACTAATATGCCGGAGCGCTTCGGTCACGAAAAATAGGGGCGAATCGCATGAAAATCGGGTTTCAGACCAAAATCCCGCTGAATGGCCGGTGCCCGGGGAGGTAGACCTACAACATAAGGGCTCGTTGCACTGGGAGTTGGACCCGGGAGTGTACCATAAATCCAAGTGTATGTCAGTCAAGTGCAACATTTTTATGGTGAGACCGGTACGCCGAGTACGGGGCTTAAAGGGCCGTCGTTTAGGCAGTGGTAGCTCCCAGAGCACCTGTAAGTGAAATTTTGTTTACAATTACATTTAACATTTTATTTAAATGGTATGCATACACTATTTGTGTAGGGTAGTTTAAGGTATGTCATACAGTCCGGGTGCAATAATGTGGAGCACACCTCCGGCACCGTTAGGTTAGTATTCTGGAGAACATACACGAGTGGGTCGGCGATCCGGTCTATAACACCGGCACAAACACGTGTCGAGAACGTGGCCTCCACTCTGGGACAGATGATCTTGGACACCCACTTCATGATACCCGGGTAGGGCACAAACAGCTTCAGGTACGTCAGCGCCTTATTACACGACTGACACGAGTGGTTGTCATGTTTGCCACTGTTTAGGTCAGTGAACACGTTGAGGAACAACTGTTTGGCACCGGTATTGCATAAAAATAAATTTTTATTTGTATTATGCACATGAATGTACAGTGAGTGTGTTTGCATACCTGTCCCAAGTCTTGGTTGTCGTTGGAGGTGTCGAAGTCCTCGACGTCGTGCTGTTTGGTGAGGAGATGGTGCCTTTCCTGGTCCCCCTCCTGGTCCCCCTCCTGGAAGGCATGTTTCCGGTGACCCCCGATTCCATCGCAATGGGTATGAGGTGTGCATAAAATGACAAAAATGACACCCAATTCAAAGTAGGCATACATTTCGTTAAGTATATATCGACCGCTGTTTATAATTACTATATAATTCATATAATTATATGATTTCCCATATGTTTTATACCTGTTCCTATTTATTATATACCTATCCATTCTAACATACCTGTGCCAATGTTTTGATTACGGTATTTAGATGAAATTAGATAATGATCTTTATATTGATATGGATTGAGTGTCATTAGTAAATGAATTTAGCTAATGGTTAGACACATCGATGATGTATTTATTGAATAAATGGTTCAAATATAAGAAATACAAATAAAGTTTAGCCTAAGCATAGAATTGAGGGGAACCCAAGTGTGAACCAAACAATAGTCTGTAAGTATGGGGATAAGTGATAACATAAAAATGTGTGATTGTGTGGGCATTACTTAAAACTGTCGGGAACTTAGGTTCAGGCTATGGTTCAGGGACCTCTGGTTTGAATGAATAAACTTATCAATATTTTGTATTTGAATTCTGTAAAATGGTCTCAAAGTACATACAAGTTTTGTTAAATCATATAACTTATGAGATTAGTTACATAAGATAATTACAATTCATACTAATTATTAGCATAAAATATTTTTAAATAACTGATTGTATGGATGCATGTAATATGTAGGCGTTAATTTTATTTGTTTCAAGGTGATTGTAGAAATTTGAAAGTTTATGTAATCTTTATGTGTAATGTAATTTTATGTAATTAAAATTCTTAAATTATTTGTACAAGTCACTTATACTGCATAATTAGCCGGTATCCCTAACATGAAAATATAGCTCACAAATAAATATCAGATTGCAATTTCGTTGAAATAATTTATTCCACATGTAAAGCAAATTCATTGATAGAAAAATGAGATATAAATAAAGAGATTGTATTAGAAATATCTCAATATTAAAGTAATATTAGTCATGAATTTGAATATTTAATATTAAAGTCCATTTACAGTGCAAATGTGCGCAAACATTACATTTCAGCACAATTTACAACAAAAAATAAATTCACTATTAATTTAAGGTTCATTGAATAGACATTTAAAAATTCATACATTGTAAAAAAGTAGTTTTACAATTACAGTTTTTTAAAAATAGTACTTCACTTCCTATTTATTGTTCAACAATAATAAAACTTTAATGATTTTAATGTTCTTGGTACTGTAAATCCAATTTTTTCTTAAATTAAAATAATGTATTATAAATACATTAAATGTTAAAAATTTAATATAAATTTCATCCAGCTATTGGCCACCTCTGGGTATGTTTGTTTGCTTAAAACTGATGTATAAACAAATGATTAAACATATAAATATCAAATGACGTGCGAATGTGTCTCTCATTCAATACTACTCATCATATTTCCGTACATTTCTCTTATACTGTATTTAATACTCATTTAAAACTACTTTTATTATTAAACTGTGTTTTGAGTCTCAACTCATCAAATGTCTCATTAAATTAAGACCATTAAAAGTATAATTATATTAATTATATCAACAAAATCATTAATGCTCAGATGTAGTGCAACTTCATCCGATTAAAAGGTAACTGATCAAGGTAAACCAAAATCATCAAAAATATTGCATTTTATTATAGTATTTTACAATTTTGCTGCAAATCTATCGTTAAAATATCAATTCACATTTGTTGCCATATTACATTATTTAATATGGATACTGGTAAAATATCTGTAGCTTATTATTGGCATTTAATATTTATTTGGCAAATAATCTATGTAAATTTACTACTGTATTAAATGATTCTATACTATAATTTATAGTTTATTTTGATTGTCAAAAGCAGCCAGTCTAGTAAAACTTGGCAACTGAACAATATTATAACATTACTTAATACTCATGTAATAAAACATTTTCATTTGCAAGCATTCACTCATGAAATGTATGATTAAATTACAGAAAGGTCTCCACAAAAGCAGTGATACTCCGGAGTAATGCCGGGCTATGAAAGCGAAAGGTTTGTCAGTTTGTGTCAATCAGATCGCGAGGAGTTCTCGTGCAGTATATGTCAGGACATACTGAGGGCGCCGGTTGTCGCCAAATGCTGTCGACAGACCTTTTGCGAGGACTGTATCACCAATTGGCTCAGTGCCGAGACTACCTGCCCATATGACCGACAGCCGTTGAACACCGATGGCCTGTCCCATCCGCCCCGGTATTCATAACAATATTACTTATTATACTAAACATATTCTTATATTTATTTTTTTATTTCATAGCCTTTTGTTGAATATGTTATCAAAATTACAGATCAGCTGTGATTTCAAAGACAACGGCTGTCAAGAAGTGGTTACATTGGAACAGTTGACTCATCACACATACCGGTGCCCCTATGGCTTAGGAAAGTGTAAACAGTGTCTGTGTAGTGAGCAAAAGGTAGGTCACAGTTGTGTCCACTCTTTGCTGCAATTGAATCGTAAGGTTAGTCAAGCGAATAGTGTATTGAAACGGGAGTTACTGTTAGCTATGACCAGAAATGGTGAGACCAGTGCTGCCGACGAGATACTGGTGCCCGTCAGTCAACTCCAGAGACTAATCGATGAGAACATTGAGATGAAGGCCGAGATTGAGATTAAGCCACAGTCGGCACCGGTAGCCATAGACGACGAGTCTGAGCCCATAGCCACCAATAGGTGTTGTGTTATATTATGAGATAAACATATCGTATTGAATGACAAAACCTTGGTGATCCCACTCAATTTACAATTATATTTTATAAATATCAAATAACTTAATCAAATCTAGTGAATGTACATTAATAGTAATATTATATATCATTTGTTTTTAAAAGATTTTATAATTAGATATTAAATAATTTTCTAAAAACATTTTATTAAATGAATGACACTTTTATTAATTTTAATTAATTGTGATATTCGTTATTTTAATACAAAATACTGATTACTAGGTATTAATTTATTATTGATACTGTATATCTTTTTCATTGAGCACTTGTATACAAAAAACGTGTATTCAATGGACAGGCAATAGTTAAGCAAAACTACTGACTCTTTCATAACGAGATTCCTTTGAAGTGTTCACTCGTCTCAAGTAAATCACTAAAAGTGTCACAAATTGGGCTAAAATACAAACA